GCCGAGAACAATTCCAGGAAATCTCCGCTCCGAGGCGGACAAGACACGGGCAGGAAGGGCCGGCGGGAACAGGGAAGCGCTGATAACTCGGGCCACACGCGGCCGCTCCAGCTCGGCCCCGATCCCGGTGCCGCGCTCGCAAACGACTCGCGGCTCTGCCCGCGCCAGGGGGGCGTTTTGCTGCCGACGGCCTTGGAGAAATTGAGGCAGCAATAGGTGAAATGAGTTATTTCTTCTGGCAGCCGCCAGAAAAGTCAGGAGCAGAACCAGAGCGCCGGCACGGGGCTACTCGGAGCACACGGGGTGCAGGAGAGGAGAGTAGCAGGATGACGGTAGGCGCATCCTGGCAATGCTGGAGCAGGAGCAGCGATCCCGGTGCTTCCCATCCTCAGCAAAGCAGCTCCTACAGGCCAAAAAGCATGTGGGGAATTCAGCAGCAAGATTTGGGGTTGGGGTTGGATCCCTCTGTGCCCCAAGGCTTGGACTAGCCTGGGGTTACCAGCCCCTGGCACGGCCGGGGGCCCTGCCCTGCACGAGGGTCCGTCTCTCCCCTTTGTGTGCAGATAAATGGGAAAAGGCCGTTTCCTCTCCGGAAAGCTCCTGCTCCGGTGGCAGCGGGGTCCCCCGGAGCGGGCGGATCAGGGGTTGCACAAGCGGCGGCAGGAAGGCAGCAAGGAAAGGCTGATAAGGGCTGCTGATGTGGCCGCCCTCTCCCTTCCCGACCTGTCAGCACTTTGTTGGGACCCACAAACCCTGGTTGTACCGGGGCCGGCCCGGCCCGCACGGCACTGCCACCAGCTCGGCCCTCTACGCGCTCCTGCTCTTCCTCCCATTGTCCACTGCTATCTCTGCTTTTCCCTGTCCCCGAGGGGCAGCAGGAGCAGCTCCGGGACCCCCAGGAGAGGCATTGCAGGAGCAGGATCTGAACGGGATGTGGAGGACGCCCAGGGGTGCAGAGCCCAGCTCAGGTCCACAGCACCTGTGCCCACAGGCCCCGCCCCCAGCCAGTCCATCAGACCCGACGTGTCGCAGTGCTCCTGGGCCCAGGTTAAAGGCTGGGGAGGCCAGGGCAGGGGGCAGTTCTGCAGGGCAGAACCAGGAGCCGTGAGTGGAGGTCCCAGTCCTGGCCCATTGCCTCTTTCCGTAGACCTCAGCTGTGGGCATTTGGGCACAGATGGGCTCTTTGCAACCCTGGCCTTTCCCCAGGGTGATTTCTCTGGCTTTTCTGGCAGTTTTCAGGGATCCTGGCCACTGACACGGAGGCCAAAAGCAGGTGCTTTGGGCTAAAAACGGGCTTTAATGAAGTCCTGGGGCAGCACAAGACAGTGGCAGGAGCCGAGGCACC